TTACGAATTACCGGTTGTTTTCTCTTTAAAATATTTTGTAATCGGATTATTTTTCTTAAACTGTCCAATTTTTAACTTGAACTGAAATCTTTAATCGTAAATTAGTGATTTGAAGAAAATATGTACAAATATGCAATATTTCCTAAAATATGCCCCAAGTTGCCAAAATATGCAAAATATGCATTTTTTTTAGCTTATTTTAATCAAAAAACATTAGATATGTATAGAAAACTTACAATTTTGTTGATATACCTCTTAATGATAAATATGCATTTTGCATATAATCCGAGCCTTAGTAATATGTAATATGTAATTTGTAATTTGTAATTTGTAATTTGTAATTTGTAATTTGTAATTTGTAATTTGTAATTTGTAATTTGTAATTTGTAATTTGTAATTTGTANTGTAATTTGTAATTTGTAATTTGTAATTTGTAATTTGTAATTTGTAATTTGTAATTTGTAATTTGTAATTTGTAATTTGTAATTTGTAATTTGTACCTCTCGGGACACTGGAGTGGCGCCGACTGGTCATCCCCCCGAAGCCCCCACACACGCTGGGTTGCCGCGAGTCGTTGTTCAGTTTTGGACTTCTCCTCGGGCGGCAGAAAAGTGGGGGGAAGTCCCCCCAATCCACTTCGCGCTTCTGTATGGCTTGTTCTGTTGCACCAATCAGCCAGAAGGTTCGGACTTCCCCCTTCCCTTTCATGTTGACCAATCCGCGTTCTTCTACGACGTAACCGCCTAACTTGTCTAGGACTTCCTTGCATTGGTGGCTGATGTGGATTTTGAGGGGTTCGCCGTTGCTCTCCATGCGGGAGGCTGTGTTGACGGTGTCGCCAAAGAGGCAATAACGGGGCATTGTAAGTCCCACGACGCCGGCTACCACAGGGCCGGTGTGAATTCCGATTCGGAGTTTTAGGACTTCTTTCGGGCGGTGCGAAATGGAATGGTTTTTCACGGCGGAGAGTAAGTCCAAGGCCATGGAGGCGATTTCGCCAGCGTGGCGGTCTTTATTGCGCAACGGGAGGCCGGAAACCTGGAAAAAATCTTGTTAGAAATACCAAAAATTGGCATTTTTGATAAGTTTTTGGTATTTTTAACAGCTTCAAGTTTAAATTAAAAATTTTGTCACATACCAAAAAAACTGTCATTTTTGATATCGATTTGTTATGTGGAACAAAATAAAATAATCTTCAAAAAATCTTGTTATAAATACCAAAAAACTGACATTTTGGGACGCGATTTGTTCAGTTATTAAGACTCCCAAATGTTTAAGACGAGAATCATTTAATTTTCTGTCCTAAAAATCTTGTTACTGATACCAAAAACCTGGCCTTAATACATACCTAAAAACTAGTATATTCCAAAAACGATTGATTCAGTTTAAATGAGTGTCGAGTTTCTAGTTCTTTTTTTTATAGAAATTTACAAATATCAAACTCTATCTTATCTTAACTTAGTAAAGAAATAATAGTTAAAAAATGTTGGCACCAATACCAAAAAACTGTCATTTTTAACAGCGATTTTCTGAACTAAATAAACGCCTTGAAAACTTATAATAAAAACCAGTCATAAAAACCAACCATAATTTTCAAAAATCTTGTTATTAATACCATAATTTGGCATTTTTTGTAAGCAAATCGCTCAATTTTGATAATCTTTAACCGCTTGAACTAAAATCATTTGATTCTCTAGTTAATTTTCTCTTAAGATTTATGATTATTTTCAAGATTATACTAGTTTGGTAATAGAATATTAAATAGTCTTTGAAATGTTAAAAAATACTAAAAAATTGTATTTTCAAAAGCAATTTATTAAGTTATTAATGCTCTTAAATGCTTAAGACAAAAATAAAATGATTTAATTTTCGAGTTAATTTTCTGTCAAAAAATCTTGTTACTGATACCAAAAATTTGCTATTTATATACCTAAAAACTAGTAAATTCAAAAGCGATTTTCTAGCTATTTTTTATCGTAACTTGCAAAAATATCAAAGTTTAGCTGATCTTATTTTAGTAAAAAATTAATAATCTTGATAAACTTTTTCCAAAAAAACTGTAATTTTTTAAGCGAAATATTTATAAAAACTTGAAACCTAAAGTATAATTTTAGTCGCCAAGAACAGAATAATCTCGAAAAAATCTTGTTATTAATACCAAAAACTGGCATTTTTGATAATCTTTAACACCTTGAAACTGAAATTATTAAATTCTCTGTTTGATTTCCTATCATAATATAATAAACGATTATCTTCATGATTTTACTAGTTTGGTAGCAAAAAATTAAAAATATTTCAAAAAAAATACCAAAAAACTGTCATTTTTAGATCCGATTTGCTGAGTTAATAAAAGTCTGGCAAGCTTGAAACAAAAACCAGTCAATTCATCAGTTAATTTTTTGTCATAATTTAAAATGATTATGAAGATTATTCCTTAGTGTAGTAGTGAAAAATAAAATAATCTTCAAAAAATCTTGTTAATACCAAAAAACTATCATTTTCAGAAGCGATTTGCTCAGCTATTAATAATCGTAAAAGCCTGAATCGCCAACCAATCGATTATTAAGTTAATTTTTTGTCATACTTTATAAATACTTCGAAATTTTGTAATTAGATTAGCTATAAAGTCAAAAAAAAAAACAAAAAATCTTGTTACTATAATACAAAAAAAAACACAATTTTCAAAGGCGATTTGCTCAGTTAATAATCGGAAAAGCTTGAAACATAAAACAATCAATTTTCTAGTTAATTTTCCACCATAAGTTTTAAGATTTTTGGTACTTTAGTGATCAAGAATAAAATAATCTTGAAAAATCTTGCAAATGCCAAAAAACTTTATTTTTCAAAGCGATTTGTTCAGTGATTAATAATCAGACAAGGTTGAAACGACAACCAATCAATTATTTAATTAATTTTTTTTATTATAATTTACAAATACCTTAAAATTTTCTCCTTAGATTAGCCATAAAGCCAAAAAAAATTTTAATCTTGTTACTGTAATACTAAAAAACAGCAATTTTCAAAAACAATTTTCTCAGTTATTAATAATCATCGTAAAGGCTTGAAACGACAACCAATCAATTACTTAGTTAATTTTCTACTATAATTTACAAATACCTTAAATTTTTGTCCGTAGATTAGCCATAAAAACAAAAAAATCTTCAAAAAATCTTGTTACTGAAACACCAAAAAACAGCAATTTTCAAAGGCGATTTGCTCAGTTATTAATAATCCGAAAAGCTTGAAACAAAAACCAGTCAAATCTCCAGTTAATTTTCTATAGAAATCAATTATTACTCATAATATTTCGTCTTTAATTTAGACGTGGTAATTATAATTAGTTCTTGTTACTAATACCAAAAAACTGTAACACTTTGCTCACTTATTATTAATCCTGAAGACTTGAAACAAAAAACAGTCCATGTTCTAGTTATTTTTTCATCATAATTTCTAAGATTTTTGGTAGTTTAGTCATCAAGATAAAATAATCTTGAAAAATCTTGCAAACGCCAAAAAACTTTATTTTTCAAAGCAATTTGTTCAGTTATTAATAATTATAAAAGCTTGAGACGAGAACTACTTGATTATTTAGATAATTTTCTGTCACAATTTACAAATATCTTAAAATTTTGTGCTTAGATTAGCCATAAAGACAAAAAAATCTTCAAAAAATCTTGTTACTGTAATACCAAAAAACAGCAATTTTCAAAAGCAATTTTCTCAGTTATTAATAATCGGAAAAGCTTGAAACAAAAACCAGTCAAATCTCCAGGTAATTTTCTATAGAAATCAATTATTATTCATAATATTGTGCCTTTAATTTAGCCGTGGTAGATGAAATTAATTCTTGTTACTAATACCAAAAAACTGTAACACTTTCCTCACTTTTTATTAATCCTAAAGACTTGAAATAAAAAACAGTCTATTTTTCCAACGTAATTTCTAAGATTTTTGGTAGTTTGGTAATCAAAAATGAAATAATCTTGAAAAATCTTGCAAATGCCAAAAAAAATAATTTTTTTTTCAAAGCAATTTTCTCGGTTATTAAGAGTCGTAGAGACTTGAAACGCACACCAAACAACTCACAAAAAAATCCTCAACTCACCACCATGTAAGCATCACCAATAGTTTCAACTTTGTAAACATCGTAACCCTTGATGATCCTATCAAATACTGTATAGAGATCGTTTAAGAAATTGACGACTTGCAGTGGCGTACTTTCAGCCGACATTGCTGTAAACCCGACAATATCGCTGAAATAAATCGTAACCGAATCGAAAGATTCAGGCTCGACGCCTGAACCATTGGTCAATCTTTCAGCAACTGGTTTCGGTAACATCCTGTGTAACAAATCTTCAGTTTTCATTTTTTCCTCGTAGAGCAATCGCGTCCTCTCCGACACGATCTCCTCCAAATTGTTCGCATAAGTGACCATCATGTCCATCATCTGGTCCATGATGTTCTTGTTCCTGAAAAAAAAAATAAAATGAAGGTTTTTTTTCAGGAGGGTGGAAACCGCGCACTTTCCGTCCTTCATCCGCTTCAGGCGGCTCCGAATCGCGGCGAAATCCGGCCTGGCTTCAGGATTTTCAGCCCAGCAATCTTTCATGCATTGTAAAACGTAATCATCACAGCCGATTTCACAGTCGAGTAAAAGATCGATTTCAGGCCTGAAACACTCCTCGCCGTCGATTGGTTCGCGTTTCACCAACTCGATTATCTCCTTGGGTTCGTAGCCCGTGGTTCCGAAGGGCCCTTTCCGGCCCAGAATCTCGTACAGAATGATGGCGAAGGCGTAGACGTCGCCCTTTTGGGTACCGCGACAGTAGGCGCTAGGGTTGCGCAAAATTTCAGGCGCCTTCCAAAACAAACCTGAAAATGGCGGAATTAAAGCCCGTGGGCGGTAATGCAGGGAGGTAATGACTTCGGTAATACTGGTGTTCGCCGATGCTGTCGTTTTCAGCGCAATGTCGCATTTCAGCGAGCCCAAAATCGGTCACCTGAAGGACCCATCGACTAGTCACCACACAATTTGACGATTTTAAATTACCATGGCACACTAGCATCGAATTGTGGATGTACAACATGCCCTAAATAATACACAAAAACTGAAAAAAAAATTTTTTTGGTGTTTTTTTGTTACCTTAATGAGATCATGAACCAGCGACGCGATAAACATCTTGTCCAATTTAATATCCTCGTTTTCTATAATATCCTGAAAAAAATTTTTCAGTCGAAAATTTTTTTTTTGGGTGGGAAAAAATTACATAGAGGCTTCCTTTGGCACAATAATCAGTGACTAGTAGCAAAGAAGTCGGTTCGACACAAGCACCAATAAAAGAATTGATGTTGTCGTGTCTCAACTCTCTCAATAACCTCATTTCTTTCATGACATCTCGTGAAATATCCTTTTTTCTTGAAAAAGTTAGCTCTTTTATTCGGACCACGACGCCCCGGTATTGAGCTGTCGTTGCGAAGACTTGTAAGCCACCTCTGGATTCGTAAGAAGTGACACTTGCACTAATTAGACTAAGCTGAAAGTGGGAGAAAAAATTAAGTGTGTGGCTCGGGTTAAATTGGAAATTTGACGTTTTTTGCATTTCTAATGGTTCTAGAGACTCTAGAAAGGTCATAAAACGTTTTTGGGTCGAGTTTAAAAAAATCGTGTTTTTTTCAGTTAAAAATCAAAATAAGACGGTTAATTTTTTTTTTCGTAAAAACTCTTAAAATATGGTGTTTCAGATGTAAAATCACGCGCTGAACATGATGTAACTGGTTAAAATGCTCTACGACCAGTATTTTTTGAGATTTTCAGTAATGAAATTAAGAAAAAAATAATTAATTCAAAAATTTCCACTTTTTGATGTTTTGTATATTTCGGTTAAAGTATATTGAAAATAGTTAATTTTTTGATCTACACGTATGTAAAATGTTCCGGGTAGTCGATTGGCGTAAGAAAACCTTCAAAAAACAGTTAAAAAGATATAGTCGAGTATAGATTTTGACTATTTTTGTTTTCTCAAAAACTATTTATTACAGAACATTGATCTTTTTTGGAACAATAAGAAATTAAAAAGGGTTTCCAACGAAAACAAACACGAAAGGGCTATAATCAATATATCAATATAATCTACAGTTGCGAATTTGAAAAATCGAAAAAGATTTTACAAATTAAAAATATCAAAATTGACCCAAATTCATTTTTAGGAATCTAAGAAACTCAAAAAACACTTTCCGATTAAAAAAATAGGAAAATTAATTGTGAAACGGAAAAATTTACAACTTTTGAGAAATATTAATTATTTAATGAAAATTAAAATATGTATTTCACAAAATGTCCAAACTCATGCTACAAGTAATAAATATATAATTATAAAGACGTTAATTATCAAAATAAAGAAAATAACTAAGTTTTGTCATTTTTAAGTAAAAAATAGGCGAAAAAAAACTTTTAATCAATAGTAAAAACCACCTTAAAATGTTTTAATATTTTCGTTATTTCAGAATTTTTGTGTGTTTTAAACCTTAGTTAAATTTCTGTACGATTGGTTTTAAAGGTTGTATTTGACCAAAACTAAAAAAACCTTTAGTTTTTTTGTGATTAAGTGTTGTGTTTTTTAATTCCAAATTTGTCAAAATAATAGATAGTAAAAATAAAAAA